CTATGGAGGGGGTCTGCTTGCTTCCAACGCTTAGGACCTAACAAGGTGCAGATCCTGCACGTCACTAGAAAATTATTTGGGGGAGGATCTCTTATTTAGCTGTTTTCTTTTGTTTAAAATAATAAGGACAATTGAATGCTGCATGTGTATTTGAAAATTCTGTAAATTATATCACTAACTGGTTCTGTTTTAGGGAATGAGGGGCAGGGGATCCCCGGGTAGTACAAACAGTTAACCTGATGACCTGCTCACCCAAAGGTGGAGGTCAAGTCCACCCAAGAGCACCTCAGAAGAAAGGCCTGGCAATCTCCGAAAATCAGCCATCAAAAACCTGATGGATTCCTGTTTTCTTCCGACGTCACAGGGTCACCTCCAGTAGATGCCGACTCAAGAGCAGCTGGTGGGGTGTCTCCTGTACAGAACGGAGAGGAAGGAATGGGAGGTTGGAATATTGCGTCCCCAGGCAGGCAGGGAGATGGATTATACTGATCCAAGTGCCCCGTGGAGAGGGCTTGGCTATACCCAGCAGCTGCTAATTGAGATACCTTTAAAAAATTAATTTTGTTTACGTTTTATGAATTCCTCTTAAAGGGAATTCACCATTGCAACGTGTATCGACAGGGGAATCACTTCACATAACGTCTACAGGGGAATCACTTCACATAACGTCTATGGACCAGGGTGCTTGTTCTTCATTTCCCTCTGGTGGGCCTCTGGCCACTCCTTCAGCTTGTCCATAAAGCTCTGTAATCCGTTTCATAGCAACGGCCAGTTCATTTCTGCTTTCTTCAGTGAGAACCATTTAGCCCAGATCAGCAGAGGCCCTTGAAGTGAGAACATTTCCTCTCTCCACCTATCTTTGCAAAGGCCACCCTTTCTCTCTTCTGCATTTGTTGAAAACCAGAAGAACAGAGAACAGGTGAGAAAGCTGTAGGCTTTTCCAGTTCCTCTTTGGGTTGGCTCAGGACCTTTCTAAGTTGTACGCAAGGTAACATCCCCAAAACATTACAAATAAAACCACCTTTGTATATTCAGGGAAACGTATACAGCTTATTAAAACAAAACAAAAAAACGATTGTACTGTGTGGGATTCTTCACCATCTCTTGGCTGGGCTACTGCATTTATCCCATAACTGAGCCTCCTGTTCCCTGGAATGCTGCTCCTGCGAGCCCACCTTCCACACAGCTATCGTGATCCCTGCAGGGACCAGATGGATTTACATACTTCCTTTGTCCTTATATGACATCTCACCCAACCCCCTCCCCCAAAAAGAAATCCAAGCTCACTGCCATCGAGTCTGTGCCGGCTCAAAGCAACCCTGAAGGACAGGGTACAATGGCCCTTGGGTGTCCGAGACTGTAACTGTTTACAGAAATAGGCAGCCCTCTGTCTCTGGGGGCACGGCTGATGGCTTCGGATTGTCCTTGAAGATTGCAGCCCAACACACAACCACCAGCTACCAGAGCCCTTGATACAATTTCCTCACCCTGAAAATAAAATGCAAATTCTTCACCCTGGCCCCCAAAGCCCTGCCTGGGCTGGGGCTCGCTCACCCCGTCCGGCTCTTCAGCCACATGACTCTTTCCTACTTCGCATTCTGTCCAGCCAACCATTCTGGCTTGAATCCATTTTTTCTGGTTTCTCTCCTTAGCTTTCCTGCAGGTAACAGCATTCGGAGCTCGTGCATCTGATCCGGGCCGTTACTTGCAAAGGAGAACAACTTACACTGTTCCCTCCCTCTCCACTGCCAAATCTTAAGTTCTGTTTCGGTTGTGCACGCCTTATTAACCTTCACAGCCCTTAACTTTGACAGGCACCGAAGCCCCCACCCAGAGCGGTGGCAGCACTGTGCTCTTCTCCTGGGCATGTGCATCTGGACTCTCCTTAGGTAGAACTTTGCGCGAGGAAGCAGTTTCCTGGAGAAAAGATCTATCTCTTTCCTTCCTTCTTTGTTGTTAATCTCCTTCCATTCTGTCTGCTGAATGCATGGTAGACTCTTCCCTGACCTGTGGCTTTCCCACCTGTAACCCAATTTAACAGCAGGACCTAATATTTTTGGGAGCTTCCTGTGTGCTAGGTATTGCTTTACACGTTTTACATGAATTAATTCATTTAACTCTTGCAATAAGCAACCATATGGTAAGATAGGGACTCGTGCCCCTGCTGTACATATGGGCAGAGGTAGAGAATGGTTAGAAACCCGTATTTTTAATCACTACCTTATATTGAACTTATCTACCTGAATGCACATCAAACCCAAGTCTGCCCTGTGCTTAGACCGACTGGTTTCCGCCTGGCCGCTGATTGTTTGGATGTTTTGGTGTGCTTGTCTCGTGTCCTCTTAGACTATAGACCATCCATCAATCCCTCAAGGGTCAGTGCCTACCTTAAAGGCAAGGAGCCTTCATGGTTAAGCACTGGGCACAAGTTCAGTGCTTGAAACTACCAGCTGCTCCACAGGAGAAAGATGGGACTTTCTGTTCTTTTTAAAAAATTTTTTATCCATAATCCTTCTTTATTGTAGGAAGAAGCCTGATATTTAGGCCCACATGTATATTTCAAGGGATGGAATATCATTCCCAGTTCATTCTTTTTTACAAAAAGGGTGATCAGTGTCTCATATTACCTTGCAATATCAAGATGATATTTTAGACGAGTGTGTCAGGTGCTTTGGGCATAATTGCTTTCTCGTTTCTATTTTATTTATTTATTTTATTTAAGCATTTTATTGGGGGCTCGTACAACTCTTAGCACAATCCATCCATCCATCCATTGTATCAAGCACAGGTGTATATTTGTTGCCATCATCATTCTCAAAACATTTGCTTTCTGCTTGAGCCCTTGGTATCAGCTCCTCAAATTTTCCCCTCCCTCCCCGCTCCCCCTCCCTCATGAACCCTTGATAATTTAAAAATTATTATTTGGTCATATCTTACACTGTCCGACATCTCCCTTCACCCACTTTGTTGGCCATACCCCAGGGAGGAAGTTATATGTAGACCTTGTAATCAGTTCCCCCTTTCCACCTCACCTTCCCTGCACCCTCCCGGTATCGCCACTCTCACCACTGGTCTTGAAGGGATCATCGCCCTGGATTCTCTGTGTTTCCAGTTCCTATCTGTATCAGTGTACATCCTCTGATCCAGCCAGATTTGTAAGGTAGAATTGGGATCATGATAGCGGGGGGAGGAAGCATTTAGGAACTAGAGGAAAGTTGTATATTTCATCATTGCTATCCTGCACCGAGACTTTATGTTCTTATA